TCATTCAGTTTGGTTGCACATACAGTTAACAGTTGTCATGTCTGTTGTATGCTCTATGTTCAGATATGAGCTGGATGTATGGCCTCTATGTACACATTGTTTTTGATACTTACACTTGCTCCAGTCCTGAACCACATCCAAAAGTCCCAATGATTGTGTACTGTGTCTGAGCTAAGAAGACACAAGTTCCAGTCCGCATGTCTGCTCTTTGGGGGCTGTGCTTGAATAAGCGCTGGAACTTTCCAGCATTTCTTTTTGGTCCTATTTATTTTTTGTCTGTGTTGTTTTCTCAGTATTGCAATGCATCACTTGACATTACCCAAGCAAGTTTGAGCTGCAGCGCATCAGCTGAAAGCAATTTGGTCCGGAGCGCAGCTGCCAGGCGGATAAGACTTTCCTTCTTTCGTTTACTTTGAAATGTTCCTTTTTTTTCAACGTCCAAAATACACAAGGCAGCCAAATTGCTGACATGTGTGAGAGGGGCAGCAGGACTCCTGCATTCTTTCATGCCCCACTATGCAAAACTCCACATTGTTTATTTAAAGAACACTGAACACTTTAGCACTATTAAGAAACATGTCATATAGTAAACTAAAGGTTTCCTCTCAGGAAAAATCCCTGTCAGTTTATTTTTCTCCTACAAAAAGTTATTTTAGTTTGGACTCACAAACTGCCTGCATGCACAACTAAACAACTGTGTTCAGGCACTAACAGGCTAACCAAACCTGGAAGTGTTGAGATTATTTATGTTGAGAGGTGGGAATGGACACAAAGGAGAGCTGGTCTGTCTCTGTCACACTCACATTGACTGAACTAGCTCAATGAACTTGGAGAAAATTACGGCTTGTTATTATTTGACTTTCTGATTTGTCCAATATTTACTGGTGAAAATAACAATAGTGGCACGAATTATAAATGTCAAAAGAGATACAACTGGCTTTGTGAACCTGCTCATTCTCATTTTGTGGTCAAAAGGACAATAACTGAATTGTAACAGTAAATCCAGCACGGTCAGTCAACAAAGAACACTGGTTTTGGTGGTAGAGAAAGTGCTGGCTTTGCTTTGGAAGTATCTACAGATCTCTCTTTGTGTCATCATAAGCTCCCGCCTCTTATTCTGTGGCTGGGGAAACTGGAGGTGACATGTGAGCAGTGCAGGCTGATGGCCCGAGTGGAAAAAGCCCATCATTGCTCAGTGGGATCTGCTCCCAGAGACAGACAGAGGGACATCCAGCCAGGGCGCAACTTGGTCATCAGATCAGGCTGATGGAGGTGGGAGAAACAGACTGAGACTCAAGGGCCCACAGTGAGTGATAGCCCACCAGGATTTCAGAGCAGCCCGGCACAATGAAGACTAACCCACCTTGACATGCATAGGAAACTCAAAACTCTACTAGCCCACTGTGAGATAGAAGCCACCCAGAGCAGCCCGCCACAGCGCATAGCCCATAGCCCCGCGTCCTTTTTAACTAGCTCTGTTTAGATGAACGCATGACTGAGGAATGCTCCAGTATACCTATGGAAACCACAAACACAACAGCATTAAGGCCATATCAGAATACCATTCGCTCTCGCTCTGCTGGCGGGAGTTCACTATGTCCATGAAAATGTGCTCATTGCTGTATGCTAACAATAGGCTTTATGTTGTGAGAATGTGAGAAAACTGCATTAAAATCAGATCAAAACAAGTGACGCAGATAGTTTGGGTCACTTTGAGAAGTGAATTGTTAATTGTCAATTACCATCTATAGTATGACATAATTATAATATGGTAATGGTACCAGTTTTAAAATAATACATTTTAAGTGGTATAATGGGAAATTTGTTGTATGTGCTGTATAAGGTTTTAGGACTAATTTTTTATGTATTGAACTGCTTGTCAGAATATAAGAGCAAAAGTATACACTGTAGCTGCCTAGTACTACACTGTAGAAACATGGTGGGTTGTTGGCATGCAGAGGAAGCAGTCTGAGGTGGACGTGTAAATAGCCGTGGGACAGAGGGATGCAGAAGTGGAGCCATCAGCGAGAAGTGACGAAGGTCTGGAACTGAGCCAAAACAAACAGTGCCTGGTCACAAGGAACACACACACACTCCTGGCCACTGTGTAGCTCTAAAACAACAGCTTGTGTAGCACTAAGCTGTGTGACAAGCATGAAATTGCAAATAGTAAAATTATTTATGTTGCGTTAATGTTGGCCGTTGTCTATTTGTACATGTTTTTTCATGTGCAGGTTTGTATGTCAGTAGGTTTACCTGTCTGACCATGGTTGCATGAATGTGCTCTGAAGCAGGAGCTCTCCTGCTCCGTCATGTCCCATAGATTCAGTGAGAGCTAACGCTCACTGTGTGTTGTCTTAAGCGCAGCATTCAGAGGCGTTTGGCAGAGCAGCGCAGTGAAAGACCATCTGTGGAGCGTGTCCTGAAAGAATGTACAACACAAGCCCTGGTCATCCCTCTGTCACCAAACACATTTAGGGACTGCGTGTGCTTCATTCAATAGTATCTGCCTGGTCTGTCATTGTAGAAACTGATTCATGGTGCTTATTAAGAAAAAAACTAGATGCAAAACATTATGGTATTTCTTGCCAATAATCGCATAACAAGGTTGCCTGGAATCCAGAATACACACTTAACCTTTACTATTACTAATACACACTTAACCTTTACTATTACTTTACCATCTATATAAAAAATACAGAGATATATCATTCTGGACTTGCCAGGCAAATAATAAGGTGCATACCAAGTATACCTTTTGGTGATATTTATTTGGATGTCTTGGATTTTTTCAAAAAGAGCCTATGGTAACCTGTCTAGCTGAGCTGGTAGAGCTTTTAATCTGACGGTTCAGGGTTCAGGTACCTGTTCAGGCATGATAGCGAACTATTTTGAGTGAATAAATGTTTGAAAATACAGTATTAATATTGCATTTCTGTTCTATTTGTAAATTTGGATTAAAAATGAGTACTCATTTAATTTGTAATGGGCGCAAAAATGGAGGATTGTAATTAATTACATAAACTTAAATACATAATATTGTAACACGGCAATATTGTTATTGTAACTTGTGGCTTTTATCTCCTGAAGTATGTGAGTGGTGGGTGCAGATGTAATAGTGGTACTTTTGGCTGAGGAGTCTGTCTTTGCTGCCTAACATAACCTGCATAGCAGTTCAAAGCCCTGAGCCAATAGTAGTGACTCTATTGACGAGACATGAAAGCTCCACTCGATGTGTTCTGTCTAAAGATCAGAGACAAATGGCAAAGGAGTACCAACATAAACAAATCAAACACACCTCTATATTAATGTTTGTCATATCAAGTGCACTCTCATGTGAGGGCCTCTTAACAGCACAGATACAGCTGATGTCCTATGAAAGCAATGTGTTACATGTGAATTTCCCTTCTCAGTAAGAATCAATACTTTTTTCTGCATTCCACCATACAAATTGGAACATTAAATAATTATACCCATATATGAAGTGTTATGTTTTGATTAGTCCAAGGCTTGGACATATTATTTTGAAAGGTATTTAGTGCTCATTACTAGTTTTATGATGTTGGACCTGACCTGAACAATGGGATTATTGATAGTGGTTTGTTATGAACAAATGCAGTTGTTTAATTCCTTTAGTGCACTGGGCTCCTGGGCAGCCTGTCGCTCCGTAAAAGCCCTGTATTGTATTTCTTTCCTGTGCCAGAGCACGTTTCCTGCAGTGCAGCCGTGTCAAACAGTGATGACCCTTAGCTTCCTGCAAGTCGCATGGAGACAGGCCTGCCACGAGCCAGAGACCACAGAACCACTTTCAATGCTTAATTCAAGGGAATCATTTGGGAGAATTTGACTTTTTTTTTTCTTCCTACTCCTATGTCTAGTCCCGGATCCCCCCTGTCTGAGTTTGCAGGTCACACAGGCGTTTCCTGTGCGGGCTCCTGGTCCAGGCCGCACCTTGAGGGGGGTGGACAGGGGATTTCTGCCTGTATTGGCAGTGACGCCCAACAGAAACACCAAGACGTGCACACTCATGTCAACCAGTTTCTCCACAGGCATAGCAGTATATGGCAGCTAATCGCGACTGCCTTATGTTTAATGGGCTACCAGTGAAATGAGGAGAGACATGGGAATGATGTTGCTAGGACATAAAAAGGCATTCTATCAAAGTTCAATCTAGGGAAAGCAAAAAGCAATAAAAGTGTATTTATTTTGCAACCAATGAATTCAGTCCAAGTGAACGTAAAGATATTTTAGGCACTTTGTCAAATCCAGTGTTGACAGATACAAAAACAGCCAGAAGCAGCACTCAGACTTAAGCATGGGAAAACTGTCAAATAAATGTATTGCTTTGAGTCCCCAAAATATTCAGGCACATGACAAGAATTTAAAGATGAAAGCTATGTGACATGTGTAAGGAAGCCTTGTTTTTGGACTTCAGAACAGTCTTTAATGGTATTTTGTGTCCCACTGCTCTGTGAATGTCTGTATGCATTGGCACAAAGAGCTGTGTCCTCCCTCCCAGTGTACTTTAGATCAGGCCTCTTCCAGTCAAGGTCAAATGTGTTTATGTGCAGACGCACGTCTACTAGCTGCTATATTCTTTAGTGCACATCGCAAAAATGAATCCCGTAGTCTTGGTCCAGACCAGGTCAAAGGCAGGATGTCAACTGGAGAACAGGAGGAAGCAGAAGGAACGTTCTCTGGCTGCAGTTAATGACCCTGAACTTTGACCTCTGACTTTTTTTTTTTTTTAGTTTATTTGACAGGGACCATGTACAGGAGCATTAATCAAAGAAACACTGAAGAGATGCTTTGTACGAGACTATAGCTCTCGGAGCTAATTTCCATCTGCAGTCCCTGACCTTAGCCTTCATCATTCCAACAATATCTATGCTGACTACACACAGATGTGAGGAATGTGCCTTCAGTTTGCCAATATGTATGGGTAGATTTGGCAAAACTTGTAAAAAAAAAAAAAAGTAAAAACTATACTGTAAATGGGATTAACTCGAGACTGTATCTTTATTTTATTTTACATTAAGTGTAAGCCACTGAATTTAATCCTTTAATACATTTACACAGAGAAAAGCAAGTCTGTATTTAAATGGAAATTGTTGCCAGAAATCAATATTTCCTTTTAAATAGTCAGAGGGTTGAAGATCCATCCAAAAATACAGCAATGTGTGTTTTACAAATAATTACAAATACATTTGGGCAGAACACATAATTCTGTACTTTCTGATGCAGCTTCACCAGGTCCAGAAGAATAACCTGCTGCCATATTTGGAAGGCTCCAGTTTACCTTCGATGGCAGGGTTTGGCTCAGGACGTGGCCTCGAATGGTAGGGATTCTCAGGGAGTGGACGGGTGGTTGCCACTTTGGTTACCTATGTAGACACAACAGTTCAAACTGATTTAACGCTAATCTAAAATTCGTGCCAGCTAGCACAGTGACTCTACCATGGACACTGGACAATATATAATTAATGTAATGGCAAAATATGCAAATATAATGAAAGACTCACCTTGGACAGGTCTCCCAGTTCAGGTCTCTTCCATCCCAATTTGTCAAGGACACAGCTGTCAAATGCCTCTTGTTGTTTACGACAATAGCGCAGCTCAGACAGATTGGTGTAGTCCAGACAAGTCCAGTACTCTGTAAAGGACTCGGCACAGTTCCCCTTAATTTGCCTGCGTGTCAAATTTAAGAAGAAAATACTGAATACAAAATGGAACAAATGCCCATAAATCGTAATATAAAATACACAAATCAGAATAGCAAATAAAAAATATGCAGAGCAGATAATTCTGTTATTTATTTTATTGGTAAGATCAACATTTGCTTTAAAGTCTATTTTGTACAATACATATTTACTACAGACAGAACTGAAGTAAGCACTGGTCAGGAAAGTGTTTAAGCCTCTGAATAGTTAAAGTGGATATATGCCTGGACCACTTCCTTAAACATTCCCATGTGGCTATTTGAAAGTCACAGTCCAAATATTTGCACTTTTAAATGACTTACAACCAGATTGGATACCATTATTATGAAAGCTCATTTAGCCTTAGATATTCAAATACCCTAAACCCAAATCCGTGACCAAAACACAAACATCTAGCAGAAGTACTCATAATCATATGCATCACATAGTTCCAACATACAAAACAAGAATTGTAAAGGAAGTAATATTGTATTTTTTCTTAAAATATGAGAATGATTTGAGAAGCTTTGAGTGATGACCAAGTTGACGGTCTTTTCATTAGAAGTCCATCTTGTTCATTTGAGACTTGATAAACTAATTTACTGTAATTGGTGAAATCTGGTGGTCACTCAGTAGATCATAAAAACTGACCAAGTAGTAGTAGCAGTTTGTATCTATATATAAGAATAGATCATTATGTATTAATCAAAAAAGCACACCATAACCGTCTTTCAAAATTGTCAGATTGTCTCAGGTTCTGAGTTACCTGAAAAAGTTTAGAGCACACTCGTTGACTTTTCTTCCTTCTTCAAGACACTTTCTTGGGTCCTTTTCTTCCCAGCGGCAGAGCATAAATTCCTTGTTGGGTTTGTCACACTGGGAGCCATAATGGTGAGCAGCAGCCTTTAGCACTGCAGATGAAACATTGATCTGTAGAAACAAAATTAAATTGTTTTGAATAAACCATGGGCCTAAAACATTACTGAGCCAGGGTGACACAACATCAATCATGTAGACAGTGACAGTTATTTCTGAGAAGCATCGGGTCATTGAAAAGTCACAATGCTCAATTCCAAGTCAAGTTCCAATTCTTTCATTTCTTCAAATAAAGTGTCAAGGCATCAAAATCGTGACTCACCTTTCAAGTCTACAAGTCTGTTGCATATTAAATCAATTCAAATGTGTTATTTGTTCATTTATTTTGAATCATACATGAATATGTAAATAAAATTCCTCAGCTGTCCACGTAGAACCCATGGCAAAGGTGAAATCCATATTGTCAACTGGACAAAAGTTTTTTTGGTCGAATACGTTTTGTAGCTTATCCTAGCTGCAGTTTTCAGAACTAAACAAGCAGATTGAATGTGAAACGTATTTGACCAAAAAAACTATAACTAACAAAAAACTATAATCAAAGTTAGCAAAACAATAATAATAATAATGATAATAATAATAATAATAATAATAATAATAATAATAATAATAGAGTAAGTCGTAAAGGGGCAAATACCAAAAATAAAATAAAATAAAATAAAATAAAATAAAAATTTAAAACACTATTGGGACGTAGCCACTCCAATACATGACTCGAGATGTGATGCAGCAGGTTATGTTTGCTACAGACAAGTAGCTAGTGAACATGAATTTATTTGCAATAAAACCTGTCAAGTTGCTGTTGACTAACACAGATGGGCCGGAAAAAGTCGTGTTGTACAACATAACATCTTAACGTGACTATTTTAAAAAACGAAATTTGTGCATAGGTTTCAACTGTAAGTTTCAACATGTAAGATAGCATGTAAGCATTAGCAAGCTAGTTGGCTAACCTTTCCCACACGGACTAGATTTAACTTACTTCATCCACATTTAGCTCCTGTACAGTCGGGACATCCAGCGTTGGCATAGTTGCCCCTTATTGTATAAAAATAACCCAGAAACTCTCTCTGTGTGAATATCATTCGGTGTCCTCGCCTGACTGCAGGACAAGAGCCCAGACCGTGGAAGGTCAGTTTACTGCGCCTGCCCGTCAGTCGCATTCTGATGACGAAATAAATGGCGACCTAAGAGCAAAAATTAAACATATGCCTGTAAACATTGAAATTGCTTTGTTGTTCCTTCAGATATTCGCTAAAGATGTACTCGGGCTCTATGTATTTCCAAAACATTCATGTTGTCAAGTATCGTACAGACTGTATACTTCCACCCTACCTACTCCAGGTCTCCCCGTTGTCATGGAGACGCCATACCACAGCTCTCCCAAGTCTCAAAAGCACTTTGCTCTAATATCTCGAAGGAAGGCAATTAATGGAGTTTATTGGTAGCAGCTATGAAGGGGAACAGAAATATGGAAGGTAAAACATACTTTTGTCATTTGAAAGTTGGCTTGTTTTTATCTTTTCAGGCCATCTAAATAGGACTGATGTGTTTTTGTACGTCAAAACAAACTAATCATCATCATAGGTTCATAACTGAGGTGCATTCTTGGTGATTGTCTGTGATTTTAATCTCTAACACAGGATTTGGATTTACTTAGTAATCTTTCTTTCAGAATGCATGGAAAAGGAAGGTATACTTTTCCAACTGAGACCCAGTATGTGGGCGAGATGAAAGATGGGATGTTTCATGGTAAAGGAGTGCTGTACTTTCCAAATGGAAGTAAATATGAAGCCACTTGGGAAAATGGCATAACTAAACAGGTGAGTAATCCAGCATGTGTGTCCCCTGCACGGATGTCACAATGTATGTCTCCACATGTACAACTGTGTGTTTCACATTGGTCATAGCTTTCATTACATCTGTTACTGTTTACCAATTATCCACCAATATTGTTGTGGTTATTAGGTATCGCTCCTTTGTGTGCATGAAGATATTGTTCTCACATGTGTATTTGTGGGTCTGATGCGTGCTTTCAAGATTTTTTGTCACAACAGCCATCAGTTCAATTACTATCATCCAGAGGTGGCTCATGTGAGTTGATGGCCTGAACCATGACTAACCTTGTCTCAGACTTCTCTGTACCTGCATCAGTGCCCTCTTACATGCCTGCTTGATTATAAAGAGAATTTAGCTTCTGCACTAACTGCACTTCTACTTTAAAACACAATGATTCTGTCACTCAAAGTGATACTGTGCTCTCTTATTGTTTTGTATTTTATACAATTATTTAGACAAGAAATTAAAGATTTACATTAAATGATAATTATTTTTTCTTGTGTAGCTGTAAAAGCACATTGTATTGTTTGCCTGTAACAAGGAACAGATTTTGCTGTTTTGAAAGACAGTATCTAACAGTTTCTGTTCTCTACAAGGGTGTTTTCACGTTTGCCGATGGGCTGCAGTATCAGGAAAAAGAGTGGGCCTACTGTGACGGGTATGACCGCTGCTTTTACTCTGAAAGATGTAATGGGCTCAGACCTGCAGGTCGGCAGTTCTGTCATTTAATCATTCATTTAAGTTAATTACATTTTTATATTTGTCCCCATAAATATTCAATAGGGAATGTTTGTCTCTGTGTGTAGGAGAATCCCAGCTAACTGATCGTCATCCTCCACGTGTCATCCCTGATGGCTGTTATGATTGTGGTGATGGCTTCTATGACTCCTCCACCAGAGTGGTCACCTCATATACAGGCAGATTCCTCAGGAATGCAGGTCAGTACACAATAACAACAAATCCTTTTATTAGTACAACAATAATATGTAGTGCCATAGATCCATTTAATCTCTTATTGAGATAATAATCAGCAGTGGTCTACTCAAAATGTAAATGTAAATTCATACATGTACACATACATTATGGATAACAGATGAAATAACAACTGTGGATATCAGAGCTCTTCTCTTGGTGTTTATTATTGTCCCTTTTTGTCAACTTATATCAATGTGTCTTATGTCTTCATCTGAGAATCTTTGTTTACTTTTCCAAAATAAATTAAAAAGATAAAAGAGGAGAAAACATTTTCATTTTTAAAGCACCCTATAAATGTATTTGTCTAGGGAAGATGATATCACTGATTAATGGGTACATATTTAATATATTTAGATTAAAAAGGTTAGGGGAATCAAAAAATGTACATCAGCATAGAAACAAAAAAGTGTATAAGTGATTTGTTAAAAACAAAGACAGGCTGTAGTTGTGTTATCCTTTCGTCCCCACTTGCACACAGAGCAGAAGAGAGTTGTGTATCTGTGGAAGGTGAAGGCACATTTGTCACAGTGGGTGTGAAGACAGGATTTATTGCTCTGTGGCTTCCGTCCAGGATGAGAACTTTGTCGCTTTGATGGGACACAGGGGTGAGCCCCCTCCCAGATAGTACATCTCTTTTACTTATACTTCCACGAGAGTAAGGAAGGAGCTCCCTGAGCCGCCCTCAGAACTGCTGGGGTCAGACAGACAGGAAACCGAGCAAGACAGGCAAGCTATCGCTACATGATCTCATTCATATGGACGTATACTGAAATTGATTGAAGTTGCTAAGAAATAGATAGTGTATGAGCCAAAGCTAACTCTCCTTAGTAACAGTTGCTAATATAAGCAAACAGCCTCTCCTGGCCCAGGGCCAATTTCCAAAACAATAGGATCTGTTTTTAATATATCCCCGGAGGTTTTGTTTTATTTTTGTTATTGAAGCAAAAGTTGTCTTTGAGAAATTTCGTGTACATACTTTCAATATTTTATTTTATGGGGAGAGACCATGCACTGGCTGCTAAACCTTTATTTATATTGTGGATTTTCTGTCATGAGATGTATGTTTTACAAAGCATTGACAGCATTTTTTTGGGCCTCAAAGAAGTAGATGTGATGCTTCCTAATAATAAAAAACACATTTGTATGATTAAAAAGAACAAATGGACCAGATCATGTGAGTGTGTGTGATTGAGTATACAACTACAAACATACAGTGTGTGCGTGTGCATGGTGCTGATGCAGTAGGCAGTGGCAGCAGCTCCAGAATAAGCCATGTGTTGTCGTTCAGTTTGCAGCTCTTTCCTGTTTCTGAAATAACTGCTTCTTTTTGAGAATCTGTAAACTGTTGGCTCCAGGGAAAACACCTCTGGTGAGTGGGCCATGTGCTGTCCCGTCCCACTTACCTTCCACACACAGACTTACTCAAAAGTCGAATAAACTTACCACACCTTTATCCTGTGACTGAAACTGTTAGGATCTGTTTCCTCAGACATAATGCAATCTCAAACACAGTGAGACACACACAAAGACACAGACATTATTTCCCAAAATGAATTAAATTTGGCTTCATATAAATGTGGTAATATATATCCCCATAATGCGTGTGTCTGTGTGTGTGCGTGTGAATCACTGCTATTAGACTGGAAGGAAACACTTTTCCCTCTGAGTGTATTTTAAGGATTAAGATAAACAGACTTAAACAAGATGCCATTATCGCTTCCACACACTCTCTCAGTGCTGTGTTCACTGCACAAAGGTCGTGCACACAGGCTGTTATTCTCCAGACGGATATTGAGCAGAAAGTTTACTAAACAACAGAAATAGTTCATTAAACACAAAGATGGCTCTAATGGGGAAATCATATCAAATGTGTCCACACGAACCAACCGGAAAGTGGGTTTTCACAGGTCTCGTGACAAAACTAATTAACAACTCAACACAAATTTTGCTTTGAAATTGATAACTGAATAATTTTTTTCACAGGAAGGGAAAGACGACCTATACAGAAACTTTTGTCTTTTTAGCTGTAATAACATTTTTATATACCTTCCAGTAAAATACATACAATTATTATTTATGCATTTGAGGCCATTTATTAACATGATTAAATAAATACATCGTCTTGCTTACTATAGTCATATCCCTCTCCAGTTCTGCTCTCTTACTGACCCAACCAGGCACCTGTTGCATGTGAGCACACACTTCATCACAGAATATGGCTCTGCAGATAGAGTGAAAGTCATGTGTAGCCTCCAAAAACAACGCTTATTTTATCAACAGTATGACACAGATGAATGTGTCTTATCTGGCATCCAAAAGAAGCTATCTCACTGTATGAAAATGTGTGATCTTCATCTTGGCCTCTGTACAGCCCGAGATTGAATTACTAAAGTGGGGATGCAGAAGACTTCAAGCAGTATATAGTTTAGTAAGAACAAGTTAGGATGTAAAGCAGATTATTTGCTGTTATTATTTTGTTGCCTGAGAAAGATAGCAGCCACCTGTACCATAAAGTGACTCAATTAGACTTGACATTAATCCTGACATAAATGCTGCTTTACACCGTGAAGAGGCTCAAATTACAAATACCAAAATGCCTCAATGTAATTATCATTAAGACTAAGCAACACTGATTGAGGTCAGTGTGTGTTGAGTTTATGCAACACAGAGGCCAGAATAATTACTGTACGTTTAATTTCATAAAGACGCGTCCGGGCCTTGTGTGGCAGCTGTCCTTGGTCCGATGCGTTCAATGACCCCCGATCAGGTGGGAGTTAAAGTTGAAGAGGCTGTTAGTGCTGCAGGCCAATTACACACAATCACGGAGCCCTGCAGACCTGCTCGTGTGCACAAAGGGAGCCCACGCGCACCGCAACCTGGGGAAGAGGCCCGTGCCACTCAAGTGTGTGCAGCTGCATGCGCGTGCTCCATCGAACGCTCACTTCCCCTGCAATTAGCTACTCGTTTCTGCTTAACAATGAAAAACTGGTTTACTATCAGCTCTTCTAGCAGTTACTTGGTTTTTAGGACCATGCCGTTATTGTTTGTAGGTGTCTGAAGTGGCTACAAGAAGTTATTTTCTCCTAATTGTCAGGCTTATCTTGATTTGACAAATTTACCCAAGACTTGAATGCCACTTGAGCGTGTGGCAGCCTGTGACATGCAGAGTGACCTGTGGTTTCATTGTGCAGCCAGCAGTGGTTAGGCATGCTAATAACACCGCTTTAAGTCGAGACAAAAAAGGGCATTGATCTGTGAGTGCCTTTTATAAATCCGTCCAAGTCAATCAGAGCAGTTGGCTACACTCATGCATAAGGGGTACAGGTCAAGCTTTGTATAGAATTATCAATAAAACATTTATTTTTCTGTTAACAGATGACCGTGAGCATGCATGGATTGTACGGACATGTAGGAAAGCCTGGGAGGAAGAATGGATTGGAACCAATGATGAAAATGTCAGCAGCCTCATGAAATAAATTACTTTGTGAATATACAGATACTCATAATTGGATTCATAAGTTTGTTTTGTAAAAGTCTTGATTGTTTAAGACATTTCCATTTTGCATTTGTATATTACCACACATGATTTTCACACATAGTAACTAAAACAACATTGGAAATTTATCCAGAAAATTAGAGTTTGAGTTCCAACATTTTTGAGATGTCTCAGTCATGAGTATTCTATACTGTATAATACAAACATGTCCAACTAATAATTTACAGAAAAATGTAACACCTTAAATAAAATGTATTCTAAAAATAACTAATATCTGGAATTTATTAAAATGTAAGAAATGTTATAGTTTAAGCATTCAATCATCTCTACATGTGCTTGTGTACATTTTAATATGAACTCTGAAGTAAATGCCTAAGTCTCTGATTCCTTTGTGACAGATGACAATTGACCTACACAAGAATTCACATGATATGTTTGTAATCGTGTATGCAACCCCAGAAATATCCACTGAAATATCACATTTTAATTTATTGCATTTCATTACACAAAACATTTAAGATGCATGGTCTATCAAATAAGTTTTTTGTTTTCTTATTGTTTTTTTTAACAAAACCAAACATTTACAGGGGAAAGTGCTTTACAAGAATTTACAGTCTCAATAAATACAATTAGAACATTGAGGTTTGCTGGATCTTATCGAACTGCCACTACATAAAGACACATCTTTTACCTTTGCCAACACAACACTCTCGCTCACATACACACCAAACTATATGTACAAGCCTTATTTGTGTCAATGTACCAATACTAATGCCTCATCTTAAATCAATTTTGAAATAATATATTCCAAAATAGCATCGTAAGAGTAAAAAAAAAAACAAACAAAAAACTTTGGGACTAATACTGTAATTACAATACTGGAACAATGGCATATTATTTTCAGCAAAACCAAAAGTAGCTGTTTGCTATAATCTGAAACACCTAGAAATGTAAGGCACAGATTGTTTTGACAAATTTTTGAGAATCTGAGCTGTTGTTTGGGGGAAAGAAATAAACGTTGAGGCAAAATACTAGAGAAGTGGCTATGGTTAACATTAAATTTCCTTCATGTTTACCCAAAGAAAAAACAAGGAAGGTCCTTACCTCAACCGTTTTGTCTATAAAAGTCCACCTCTTTGTTTATCTTCACAACTGAAACAGCACAACGCTTTAGTCCTGCTTCCATTGTCATTCCTTTAGACTCCCACTGTCACAGGTCGACACTGAATGTGATGCAGTCCTTTACAAGGCTTTCATTCGTTTGTCATTTTCAAAGTGTATAGAGCGGCAGCAGATGGGATCTTCTGGTCCTTACCAGGCCTACAAAATAAGGACTTTTTCAGTATTTCCTCCTCATGACTGAGTTGAGTGAGACTTTGTCCGTGCTGACTCCTCTCTAACCCTTCATTTACTAATGCCAGGTCAGGGTTAGGATCAGAAGGTCAGAGGTCGTTGCTTTCATGGTGGAGTGCTAACGGCTGAGAGGAAGCTGTGGCAGTGACATGGCCTGGTGGGATAGACTCTGAGAAGTCAACACTGAAAAAGGATGACCTACAAAACATAGACAGTTGTTACCTTATTTATTAAAAATATACTTGCAATGATTTTTGACAAAGAAAAACTCACTGTCGATGTACCCGTGAAGAGCTACCATGCGCGCCCGCTCTGAACTCCCAAAGGGGGAGTAGTGCAGTTCATCAGGCAGAGACGAGGGGATCCGTGACTGGGGGTGACCTTGGGGTGCTCCACTGTGCTGGGGTGTGTGCTTTTTATGTCTTGCTCTGCAGTTTTGAAACCACACCTATGAAGATGTAACACAACCTGATGTCATGTATCTTTTGCAGTGTGTAGCAAAAGTAGAGGTTTTAGACACAATTTAAGTTATGCTTATTGCAAAAATAAATTAATAATAATAGTAACCACCCATCCAACAGAACAAAATATAGCAATGATCAGCATTAGCGTGCACCATTTTATTTTCTTTAGTAATTCATACAAACCTGTATTACTCTTCTGCTGAGGCCGGTCATGTCTGCAAGCTTCTGTAGTGTTTGGGCGTCAGGATTGTTGTCTTGGGCAAACTGTGCCTGCATAATCTGGAGAAGGAGTCACATCAGAGTCACACAGAATATGTCAAAAACATGTCTCTTTTATTGGTTAAACTAAAGAACCAGACCTGTAGCTGTTCTGCCGTAAAGGATGTCCGTGCCCTTTTGGCCGGTTTGGGCTGGCTGTCTTGTTCTGTTGGAACTGCTCCTTCTAACGTTATGCCATTGCCTGAAAATAAGCAGAAAAGTTGTACAAAAAACAGAGTAGTTGTGGACTAATTAAAAACAAATTTAAATGTTGTCCTGGGACACATGTGAACCTGGGTTGACAGTAAATAATTTCATTTAAGACATACTTGAACTGAATTTTTTAAACATTGTCCAGGCCTTTGCAGCCTCTAATCAAAACCACAAAAACAAGACATGTAACACAGAAACACTATGTAATATCTGCTCTTGCATTGTGACATGAAGCATATGCTCTGGGCAGTGTGGGAGGTTAAAGTCTGGCCTCCTACTAGTTTGATACTCACCGCTCTCTGCTGCCCTTTTGAGGTTCTCCACCATAGTGTCATAATGGATCCTGCACAGCACCTTCTCCTCCACCAGACCAAACTCTTCTCCTGTGGACAGCTGCCTCTTACAAGAGTAACAGGCAAAACAGGCCAAGTGGTATGCATTACCCCTTGCACGGCGCACCCAATCGCTGGCATAAATCTGACGACCACAGCGGGCACATTTAGTACCAAACCTACTGTAGAAAAGGGAGAGACAAAGACAGGAGAACACAAGGATTAGAGGATCGAAGGTGATGTAAAAGCATCTTATTACATCCTTGATAATTGGTGATGGACATAAGCAAGTAGGCTATGGCAGAGTTCAAACCTGGAACATGGAATGGATTTTTTAACTTAAGCACTTGGCAGAATGTAAAGGTCTTAAGGAAGAACCCCTAGAGGAGGACGTGGCCTTCAGAAAGCGCCCTGACTGCGGCTGCAAGCTGAGCCTTGAACGCAAACAAACCAACACCTGCAATTTCCTGCTTGATGCATGAAGACCCTGACATGTACACACACACCAACACACTGCAAACCAAGGAGGAAGAAAGACGTGCATGACATCACTTTAAATCGTCCTGCTGTAACCGATAGCAACAGTGAGGTCAGGCAGCATCTAAACTTAAACCACCTGACGCACCTTAAGACTATGGTGTGGGTGCTGCACTCTGACAGCATCAGACCAGTCAGCACAGACGGGGCTCTCTGTAGCCAAGATGTAGCTAGGTTTTATATTCATAGTTTTCTAATTAGTCCATCTATATTCAAATAGTGCTATATTCTTTAAAACGAATAACTAATTACTGCTTTATGGGACCCTCTATAACTGAAAGTACAAATACTTTTACAATAGCTTGCATATACTTTTTTTTTTTTTTTTCAAATTTGCAGTATTCAAGGAAAAGATGCAATATATTTGTAGCTGAGCATGGCATTGGTATTTGTTATACTCACATTTTTATAATTTTACCCAGTACATACATTAAAAATACAATGGAATTCTCCATTTAAATAATAGATAGTAAATAATCTAGTTATTTATTTATGATGTGTATTTAAAAAAATTATGACATATCTTGGACCATATAGAATACTGTAGGGAAAATCAGCTCAGTGAAAATAAGAGTGAAATAAAATACATGGGGAGCAGAGACTGAGGGAAGTAGATGAGTGTGTGAGAGTGGTCGAGCATGTAGTGCTCAGGAAAATAGTATAGTAACAGAGAACATCAATGGCACCACAAGAGCAGAGGAGAGCAGAGAGCATGAGGGCTGCCAAGAGACGGGGTTTGGCACAGTCTACGTGCACTCCATTCCACTCTATCTACGATGAAAGCATATCGTCCAGACAGATCCAAAAGCTTCTACATGCTTGTTTTCCTGCTATAGTAATGTTGTGCATATCTGACATAGCGCTATAAAAACATGTCAATATATATATATATTTTTTTTGTCATTTTAGCATTACATTGATTTTAAAGTCTAATCATTTTAATAGCACTAGCGGGATATGTTGTTGTGTATGCACAAGCTAAGCAACAAGTTTCATATAACTCAATATAGCCATTGTGGAGACAAATGGACTCTGTGGCTTACTTCACGTATGTATCATTTGGATTGTTTTGGAGAATTCCTGTCTGGTCCTACAATAGAGAGGAAAACATTGTGGAACATTGTAGCTAATCTAGCATGACAGCTTGTCAGTTTCATGTTCTGAGACAGAATCCAGAAAAGCAGAGATTCATCCCTTTTGTAGTTCCCCTGACCCCTCCCGCGCTCTGCCCTTTTTTTTTCATATCTCGATTTGGGTTTGTCCCAAGAACCTGGTGTTTACTTTGGAGGAACGTCAATCCTCACAGCCTCTATCTCACCCCCTGGATGCAAAGCCTGCACCACACAAAGCTACTATTGGCTCTTTTATCAGTCTGTTCAGCAGCAATTCACCTGCTGCTGAAAGAGGCTCTGGAGGAGCAGCATGTCTTGTGGCTTATTTCTGAAACACAGGGAGATAACTAATCTTTATTAGATTTCCCCTGGGAGATTTTATGTATTGACTGTGTGGTTCAGAGGCACTAGTTGAAAATGGAGCTAATGTGACCTCAAGTACGAGGATCAGTATTTTAAAATAATATTACCAAATCTGATACAAAAAAAAAGTATAATGATACTAATAAATTCCCATATAAGCAACTACACAAATAACTACTCAGTTAAAACTAAACTGTTGGTTAATTTCACCATCCAGAAATGGGTATTTCAACCTTAAAAATTTGACAAACTTTTTGTTACAAAAAGCTTAATTAAGACATCAAAACAATTGCTGCAACTGCAGCAGTAGAAGTAAAAAAAATAAATGGCGTGATTGAAAATGTACTCCTTGGAATACAATATATTCAAATAATAATAACTCATGATTACCCACCTTTGATACCAGCCACACAATAATAACTTAAACATTGCAAACATCCTCCAAACATTTCCCTAATTAACATAAGTGCTAAATCATAGTACAATAAAGAAATATCGTATTTAGGCCTGTTACTAAAGTACTGAGGCCACATGAACACAGGAAGCAAGTATCAGTCCTGAACATTAACAATCATATCTGCCATATTTTATATGGGGCATAGGTCGTATATTCTGCTTTAATATTTACAGACACTGGCAGTTAGTACTTTTGTTGTTTACTGAATACTACTTTTTAAAGTTACTATGGAGACAGGAGCAGCCTGTCAGTGGTGGGTTGATTCTAATTACAGTTATACAAATGCACTGGTATTGTAAGAGCTCCACATGGACTCTAGTTACAGTGGCACTACCTCAGCGTGCCCCTGATTAATGCAGCCCTGCACTTCCTGTGTGGGCCGCGCTGTGAGGGAGAGGGTCTGTGAGGGACGGGGGTCTGTGAGAGAGAGAGTGTGGTGAGGGAGGGGGATGTTTCATAGATGTTTCACGTGTGTGAATGTGGGCGATGGGCCCCCAAGGCCTGACAGAGGCTCAACTTCAGCGCTCTGTCCCCTGCCTCGACTTCCTTCATCCACCTGACCCCTCCCCCACAAATACACACGTATTCAGAGGGAAACCCACTCTGATTTCCTGCTATTACACCCCATTAAAGCAGCTGTCAGTCCAGGTCCAGATGAGAGGCTGACACAAAGAAAACATCTCCAGAGGTTTAAGGCAGCCAGATGAACTGAAGTCACTGAACTGGTCCAGCACGGTCTTACTCTAATGTTATAGACTTAAGTGTAGTATATCAATGCACATATTATAGTACTGTAGTGATGTCACAGCACCAACTGTAATAAAGCTACTATTTCAAATTTAATGTTATATTGTTATACTGAAGAAATACCTCAACAATCAAAATGATTTTTGTATTTGAAAATACATCAAGTAGTCAAATGCTGTCTCCTTTTCTATTTCCATTTGTGCATAATGCCATTTTGAAAACTAGATTTATATTGTATACTATAATAATATACCAGTATATAATTTATAATAATAGGAATTTTAACATGTTGAAGTAGTAGTATATTATTTCAGGAAAAATTTCGCTAAATTTGTTTATTATCTTTATTTAGTTATTTGTTATCTTTATTTAATTATTTCATTTCAGTTTGTGTAGAATCAATACCTATATGTCTGTTTTAATATATGACATAATAAGATAACATTTTTATCTTATAGTGGTAAAACGTATTTGTCATGGCAGCTTTTGGACAACATTCCCCTCATTTATACACTTTATTCCATATAAGCCTTTAATTTTACTACAAATTTACAGTGTTGGCTGGAAACAGTGTACTCGAATCCTTTTATCGCAGTTACACTTGGGCTACTTATCATAGATATTTGCTTGGGTTTAAATGTTTCTGAACTTTTTCTTTGGGGTGTGTATCTTTTCAAGCCTGTGATAAGTAAATAAGTAGGACTACAGTAGAAGCTTTACATCACTCTCAAAGTAAGAGTTCAGTGTGCCCCAAGAAGGCCCACATGAAGAGCGAATATCACTTAAAGAAGAAACCGAGCAAAATGACTGGCAGCTGCTGGCCATACACAAACAAACAAATATATCAGTGTGTGTCTGTCACTGCCCAGAGCCACTCAGAAGAGGTTGTAATGTGTACACTATTTCACTGCTTATGTTGATAATGGCTCTCGTATACTGTCTAATTTCTGGTGCTGTGCTTTGGTGCTATGGAAATGACTAATTGCTGGCTGTGTTATAAATGTCACAAAGTTGGCTAATTCTATCAGACTATCAGATGGTTGATGGTTGCGTGTTTCTGAAATATTCTACAGCTCTAAATTAAATTTCATAACACCGTTTCTGAGTGTACCCAGATTAACCTCAAGCACCACAGCTGCCATACAAGCCGATTGCAATAAACCAGAATTTAGTCTTCTATACTTCATTAACTTTCTTGTGAATTGTTTTGATGCTACTTTTACATCTGTGATTATTTTAAATTGTGGTCAAATTGACAATGTAAAATAAATGATTGTTTAAACATAAATCCAAAGTACAGCACTCACTGCTCTTCTTGAGTGCCACAATGCGGATGACACACACCGTGCATACAAATTCAATTTTCGTGTGGTTGTGCAAAGCTAAACATTTAAGTGTTTGAGTAAATTTAGTCCTGGATTATTGTTTAAATCCTCACATTATTTCTCTGTCTGAGAGTTCAATTGAAAACCATCAACATACCATCTTTAACACGGTCTGTGCGCCATTAAAAACCTTCTAAGCCTAAAGAAAATACCCAAATCCAGATTGATGTGAGGGAGTCATGCACTCGTCTACGGCCATTTATTGTTGATGACAAAAATAATTACATTCAATAAATAAGAATATATATATATATATATATATATATATATATATATATATATATATATATATATATATATATATATATATCTTTTTTTTTAAATTTTTTTTATAAAAAATAGGCATATAGAAACAAATTCCCCAAAATAACAAGTCACACATAACTGAGATTTCTGTTTGTTTTTTTTGTTGTTTTTTTTTAGCAATTCCTATTTTGACTTTTAATGTAAGTAGCCTTCTCTCAGTATACCCTATCTCCTTTAACCAATAAAAAGTATCAAGTATAAAACTGCCAATAATAGGCATAATATTCATTAATTAGTAAAATAAAATAATAATAATAATAAAAAACATAAATAGTTTGTAACTTGACACTTTCAAAAATGTTTGAGATTTATTATAATATAGACTTTAATATTAATATTTAGAATATAATATTGCCTGAGCTCGTGTCTTCAATATTTCCACTCGTTGCTCCTGAGTCCTAATAAACCAACAGGCGACACGTGGTGCGTGCAGGGTGTGACAACTAAACTTTAGAGAAGTCCTCATTCTCTTCAGTCCTTCTGAAACAAATCTGACCAGACTGAGCATGTCACCTGACCTGTTCTGTACACTGTAGTCTCTTTAAATGCGCTAGATTCAAAAGAAGTAGTTTCATGTTTACAGTAGGCCTAATACAGGTGCGACTAACGAGCTCTCCATTGCACCGAACTGTTTGTGCCGTTGGAGACAAAACAATAGTGGATCTTTCAACTAAATTTTGTTACAGGCCGTTGGGCTCACTGAAAGATCTAAAAGGAGCGCGAGGTCGCCCGCATCCATTTAGAAAAGCGTGCGTAACCGTGTGTGCGTGTAAAGACGTTACTGGTGTTTGTAGAAACATGCGTCAGAGACTTACCCTACCTGAAATAATCCATTTTACAGAAGATCTCCTTGTTCTTGATGTAGCAGCTGCTGTGCTGACGTAGCGACGTCCTGCACACTGAGCACTCCAGGCAGCGCACGTGCCATATGAGGTTGTTCACCTGCGCGCACGTACAGAGATGATCAGCGTCATTATGGCTTTAGCAACATACATCAGTAACAATAACCCATAACATCTCAATGTGCCTCTCACTACCTTGTGTATTTCTGATCTTTTTAAGACCTTCAAATAGGCCTACAATATATTTTGGCCTAAATTAGATCTACTAATTAACAATCCTACAGCAATACATTATAATAACCTAATAATAATATAAATAATAGGCCTAATAGTAGCCTAATAGGCCTAAGACACAAATATACATGCTGTAAAGCACAAAAAACATGTGCCACTTTTTCTTCGATCATTTCCAACGAAAATAAAAGATAATTCAATAACATGAATCTATGCCACGTTAGCATTTTATATTATTAGAAGTTTTCTTAGTGAAAATTCCAAGCACTTCCTAGCGGGATACACGCGAGCGCACGCGACACCTCCGTTACGTGAGGCCACTGAAACCCAAACATCTATGTTGTGTCTGTCTCAAACTGTAAGTCTGTCTTTTGTGATTTGACCCAGATATAAGACTTTGGTTATTATATTTTTTTTTTTTTAATTCATAATTTGTGACCAGATATACGTTCCAATAGCCTATAGCCCTATTGTTAGTGAGTAAGTAAAAAAGTAAATGTTTTAATTAGAATATATTTGAGAACGTATAGCTACGTCAATAAAATACTAACTTTGTCGCTTATTACATGTCTAGCAATTACTTATTTCTAATTTAAGTTCTAATTTAATTCCAAATCCATTTGTTTGCAGTGACCTTGAGCAGGTATCGGTCGAGGATCTCCAGGCCGCAGCTGGCACACACATTCTTCCCCGTGGACGGCACAGAGCTGGCCGTAGACGTGGGCGAGCACACTGACGGCGTGGACGGTGTGCTGGGGGACGAGCGCGTGTCCTCCCGCTCCATGTTGGACCGCTGTGACTCTGCGTCCGAGTGAGACTGTACCAAATAGTCCAGAGCACAACAGGACAAAATGAGCACGGAGTAACTCATACATGAAAACAAAGAAAGACTAAATAAAATGATTGCAAAGAGATCAAAAGAAAGATATTTGCCACGCGTAAAATAGCCTATGCTATGCAGGCCTATTCTATTAAAAAAAAAAAAAAAAAAAAAAAAAAAAGCCTAACGGGATATGCAATTTTTTGTACCAGTAGTCCATAAGGATATACGCTGAAAGATGAGTTGGCTCGCATATTTAATTTAGTTTTGCCTATTTACAGTCTATTAAGAAATCTGTATGCTAATTATTAAGAAGTGTTCGTATTTGGCTTCATTTTCTCCAAAATGACCAAATGCCTCGTCATAAACCACAGGCCGCACAGTGTGAGCTCTCACTTCGAACATTTAGGCTACACTATGGTTTGATCACGTTATAGGCCGTGCCAATCACGCCAGAACGCGAAAATCTCGGAATGGTGTAGAATTGATATGTCTAGTAGCCCTAGTGATTTGACAAGTTCTGTTTTGAAGCTCATAATCTGATATGAACTAATGGATGTTCAGTCTGTTTTGTTTTCCAAAATTGCGTTTATGGGAATGGGAGTCGGTTTCTGACATTAGCGTTTATATTTAGCAAATTACAAAGATGGCTCACCATCGGCGCGTGCTGGGGGTCGGTGAAGCGGCGCGTGACTCCCGGTGTGCCCTCGTGCTCGGTGCAGATCACCTAGACGACAGCCCGCGGTGAACATTAGAGACAGTGCTGCATCTGCGTAAACGGCTATACAGGCTCTGGCACCCACAAAGGCACATTTTAATCAATCCATCCACAATATTAAATGTTCACTAGCGTGTCACAACTGTTCTCTTCGCAATATACACAGAGTGGCGGGGGCTGGGGGGTTACCTGTAATTACAAATAGCTCCAAACGCGGAGTAGGCATATAAGAGGGACCCAGAGTGTCAATTTCAGCTGTCAGTCACTGGAAGCCAACGGGTCACCAAAGAATTGCAAATTTGATTTTTAATGGCTATAATTATAATGTAATTCTTCCCGGGAGAAATGGCAGCGCTCACAGACAACGCAAAAATCGGGCTTTTCATAAGTGTGGTCCAGCCGCAGTAAAACAAAAACAAAAAAACAAAACAAAACAAAAAACAAACAAACATGGTGTGTCTTCTGGGAGACAATGATCAACCGAAAGTGACACTGAGCTGCATGCATTGTAGGGCCACAAGTCTGCGTAAAGCTTCCAACAGGCCTGTCAGCACGCTACTCTTTACACTAGCTTTATGAAGAGGATTTGAAATTACGGGGACTACCGAATAAGAATATAAATTCATTTTTATTGAAAAAATATAGAATACGTTGGGCTGCCCGTTTTTAGTTTGCCTAGTCTACGGTGTGATTATGAGTAAGTGCACTTGAAAAACATGGGGGAAAACATTCCCCAGAAAATATCTGTAGGACTGGGCCTACAAGTACAAACGAGGAATAAAAATAAGGGTAAATGTAATAAGAGTAAGGTCTACAACTGCATTAAATGTTGTCTTAATTTTAAAATCAAGTTCATGATCCAAAGTAATTACCTGCTTTGTGGGAATCCCCTCGGACAAAATCTTATTTCCCTCGGACAGAGGGGATAACGCTTCATTTTTCCAGTACATGTACTCTCGAAGCCTCGCACCGCGTCCAAAGTCGAGAGTGCGATGATGAGTCGATGAACAGCGTTAAAACTTGTACATCCAAAGCTCGCATGAACCCAAGGCGCACAGGCATTGGCTGTGTTCAGTCAGCCTCTGCAGCTCTTACTTGCTGATCCACTACTGATAGTGTGTGAAGTGTGCAGAGCCGAGGCGCACTGTTCTCCACTCTGTTCCTCCTCTCCACTTTGGACCAAAGGAAGTGAATCACTTTGAGAGGTTGGCAGCTTGTGTGTTACTGAGGTTGAAGACGCACTGTTGCGGACACTCCGCACACAAGTCAGGGAATGCCTCTGTGCGGGGCTGCGCAGTGAAAGTTTGTGGGTTGACTGTTTTAGGAAGAAGGGGAGGGTAAACCTAATACAAACCAAATATACGCAGATGATGATGTGCGTGAGAAGGGCGGACACGCTCTGGGACAGCAATGTCATAAAACCTTTCTGTATGGTTTGATATTTAGGTAGGCCCATTTGTAGCTACTGTCAGACAAAAGTATAAATAAGATTTTTTTTTTTTTTTTTTTTAATTAAAAATCTCCGTGAAGAGAACAAGTCAATGGGGGTGCATTACGCATGATCACGCACAGCCGTTTTATGACTGTTTAGCTGATTTGGTAAAAACAAATTCATAAATTTTGTAAATGGGAATCTTTGAGTTTATATGATTCATGTATATCCAGATAAAGAAAACCTCTTTACATAGAAAGTCTTGGCTATATTTTAATCAATTAAAAATAGCAGATTTCTACCATATAAAATGGAATCAAATGACCATTTAGGGGGCTGTGCAGCGAAAGCGGAGTCTGCTCATTACAGCATCTGTTCGAGGCCACACACCACTTCCAGATCACGGCGTCAATCATTAGTCTGTCCGTCCGAACCCGCAATTATCAGTCAGTGTGTGGCACACCAGTGATCCCGTTTAAATAAGCCACCAATGCGTCCAATATTTTTACTATTTGTTAAGACGAGACAGAAATATGAAAAATAACTGAATCCCAGATGATGATAACGATTTTTTTTATGGACACAATTTGGATTTTTTTTCTTCAAGGTTCAAGGTTTTAATTTCCAGACATTTAAATAATTCGGGGGTAGGGTTTTACGCACGACCCATCAATAATATCGTTGTGCGGAAAAATTACACTTTCTAGAGCACTTAAAACAATAAATAAGTAAATACATACATACATACATACATATATAATATCAGCAAAGAAATACAACTATTAAATGTGATATATATTTTGCAGACAAAAACATTTTTTATATAACCTATATTTAGCACAATGAATCATTGCAAATTATACAGTTCAGACAATGCTTTCAGATATGTTTGAGACATGCTTCACTTACATGTTTAACTAACCCATTAAAACACACTCAATAAGACTGTGTATATGTACTACGTTTAATTAAGTGTAACAGTAAAAAAAACACACACACACACACACAAATACTTTCAATATCAAATCACAAAGTAAATTAAACACAATTTTTGCATATCTATCCACTGAGGTCTGAAGTGAACACTGGAAAAGCCCTATATGGGGTCAAAACATTTGAAACATTTGAATTATATTAAGAAAACAAATTTCATCATAAAATATAACAGAAAAAATATAACCTAATTGAATAAGCTCTATATCACAACTTAAACACATTCTACCTGCATCTCATGGTTTTATTATTCCAGAAGTAAAGAGATAGTAGGACAATCCTTACTTAAAATGACAGAAACCAACTGACAAAAGGTATTCACGGGCCCAGGTCTAGCTCTCTTAGAAGCATCTGCGTAGAGTCTGTAAAGCAGTCCACTTATGTTTATTGTTTAGTGGGAGGAGGTATCATATTATAGGAGCAGGAGGAAGGGTCATCTCCTAAAGCGTCGGAGGGCCTGCTTTGCGATTTACCATAGGGCTCCCAGCGTTTCCTCTCGGGAGGCTTGTTGTAAATGTAGGGAGACGGGCCCCCGCAGTCACTATCTGGGTTCTCCTCCATCATCTGCAGTTTGGCCTCAATGGCTCGTATCTTAGCGCTCGTGCTACAAGAGTAAAATGAGGAGAAGGATACATTAAAGAAGAGCGAAGGCTAATACAGGGGTGAGGCAGATAGCTGCCCCTGTATTAGCCCTCTTGCCCAACAACACCAAAATGATTACACCGGAGAAAATAGTGACATTTAAATGGAGGCAAATTACAGTGCATCTAAGAGCAGCGGATGAATAGTTGTATCGAGGTTCAGTGGTGGTACAATATAGGTGAGTGTTTATACTTGGCTTCCGATTTACACTACTGCCCAAGTGTGCACCCTTTTCTGTAAAGATGTCCATGATAGACTTGCGCGCTGTGGTAAGTGTGTATTCAAGAAAAAAAGGGATAACAACTCTCTGTGATGAATTCATGAATTAACACCTTTGCTATAGAGTGTTGTCAGGGGTTTGGCAATACAACTCTTTAAATCGTCAACTGCGATTTATGTTGATAAAAAGGAAGAGAGGGCAAATAGACACGGACCTGAGATGATTTGCTGTTAAAGACTCTGCTCCACCACTGGATGATGGCTCCAGACTGGAAGGCATTGACTTCTCATTTCGGAAAGTTTCAAACCTCTGCAGAATAGAAGCACAGATCCACCCAAACCAAGACAGTTGTAGATTTCACAAGACAAGTGTGATGGAAACAGTAAGAGAGATGAGTGACAAAGACAGGCCAAGGAGTGAGGAAAGAGACAAGAAACAAGAAAAATATCAATACATGTTTGTTTGATAAGTGAATCATAAAATGCATCTACTCTCTGAAAAAAAAGTCTAGTCAGCTATCTACAAGGTATGGAGTGGGACATGATGGTACAAATTAAAATTTATAGTTGATCCCAATCACTGTTTAATGGGTAATTTAAGTATTCGGTCACATTTCATTTTGCAGTATGTTTTACATACAACATGTAATAACGTAGTAAGGATTAGGGTTAGATGGGTTGGGTTGTATGTTACTACATGTTGTTATTTTGTCCTTATTGAGGTAGGTACATTTTCCTATAGGTAGTGTCACCAAAAAATCAACTGTTAATTTGAATGCATTTATCAATTGTTTGATATATGAATTCAATCATATATTGAATCCAACTGATAATGCAAAGTTCTAGTAGGAGGAGAATAGATCATAAATAAACCATGTCCAAACCTCAAAGCCCATAATAACTACTGACAGTATCTCTCATCACACAAACATCAGAATTATTAAATTATAGATCTTGTTTGTGTCTACATCAAAACACCAGAGTAACCAAGCAAAACTGTGCTTCCACCTCGCAATCACACCCTAATGGATGAGTGAGGAGCAAGTGGGAGAAGTTGAGGAGCAAAAACAAATGTCCGCACTCATTCCTTTCAAAACCACCTTCCAAACATCTCCACCCGCCAACACATTCTTCCAACCTGTGGAGAAAAACAGAGACAGAACAGCGGTCATGCACCAACCTCTGCGTCTAAGTGCACTATATGTGCAGATATGTGCACATATATGTGAGGCTGTCAAATATCTTGGATGAGAACAGGTCACAAGAAGGAACACAAAGCATCTCATTGTCAATAACATGTATGGCCAAGAATAGGTCCTAAACAATGACTGTTACAACAGCCAAGACCCTACCCTTCCAGCTATTCCTAGAGCATAGGGCAGGATCATATAGGCTGTAAATATACTGTAGTGTACAATTAATCAATCCTCAATCCTTACAAATCAGGACTGAACAAGGCAAAATACATCTTAAAGAACCCACAAACTGGGGGAATATTATGATTATTTTTTGAGAAAAATGCTTTTTTTTTATTAAGACTTGGCATTCAAAACCAAAGTTATATATGATTCACTTCTTCTTGCAGGTCTGTAAATTAAATGGGCACCTCTTAAAACTACCTCTTGAGATTTTGGAAACTGGCCTGGAGTATTAGTAAAAAACATAACAAAGAAACCAGCAAAAAAAAAAAAAAAAAAAAACCCTTGTAACGCTTGTAGATGGTGTACTGCGATGCATAATTACAACATACTACTACCTTGTATTATTTGTGTTGAAAAGAAAAGTGAGAAAAAGGTAAGGGCTATTCCGTGCCAGTTTAGTAAAAACAAATAAATGAAAGTGGTGGTGTTGAAAAAAGTTTAATCTTACTCAAAAATAGCGTGCTTTTTGATGCTGTCCTTTTTAAATTTCATCACAGTATCTTTTTGAGAGCAATAAGAATAAATGTCTTGCTACTCAATTTTGACATTGCAATGGCAGATTTCTTTCAATAAAGACTGTATTAATAAAGAATATGAGTGCAGAAAATTTCTCAGTAGCCAGTTGTGGTGTCGGCAGCAGAAGTATTGACCCTGACCCCCTCCACTAGCTGTGTGTGTGTATGCGTGTGTGTGTGCGTGTGTGCAAAGGGTGTGATTGGTCTCTATACAGGATATCCCTTCACCCATTGCCAGGAGGTTGTCTATTGTTAAAACATAGGCATACGCTGTGCTGGGACCACACGGCTCCCTCTGCACGGACAACAGCAGAAATCCCAAAACAAGCTGAGGTTCATAATCTCTGATATCCCAAATATTTTTAAAGAGACAAATCTTAGAAAAGTCTTGTCAGTTTGTGACTTTTTTCAAACATGTACATTTTCTATAAACAATCCCCTTCTGAATAACTTGGAAAATTGAAAGTAACAATAATTCTTTACTGAGATGATGATACACTTGTGGTATTACTAAACAGATTTGTGTTTAACTTAATTATATAAGGTCTCTCAACAATAATAGTATTACATGTATATTACATATATCCAGTGCGCAATGACACTTACCCTCACCTGTGCATGTGCCCATCGCACAACTAGCTTCTTGGATAATGCCAGTTTCCCATTTAAACGCTGAATAGCTCTCTCTGCCTCCTACAAACAATTTTACAAAGAAGGGAGTCAAAAGAGAAATAGGACGGAAGAGCTTTGTACAGTGATGATTGAGAATCAGCGTTGATTACTGCAAGTGAGTCATTAAATCATTACTATTTATGTAGAGATGGGGGAAACAATAATAGGTGGTGATATGCTCTGATGTGGGCAACCACCGAGTGTGTCTTTGTG